CTCAAAACGAACCCGAATTGGGTTAGTCGATTAAACGTCGCCGAATCGAGTTCCTCTGTCGCAATATCAATGCCGTCCAGTGTGTGAGAGTACTATCGAAACATCCAACAGCATCTGACTTAAATTGACGGCACCTGGCAGGACAATTGACACCTGCCTATTTGCGAGTTTTAAATCGCACTAGCAATAATTATAATGAAGTTCTTGGTTTGGCCCTGATTGTCAGACCAGGTCAGGACCGAGCACATGGCACTACAGTGAGTTTCCTGAACTCAGCTTTAATTATACGCAGACATGGACAATATTAGACAAACAAAAAGTAAACACCTGACTCGTGCTAATTATTTCTAAGGCTTGTGATATGGCGCAACACAATTATGCACGACATGCCGCCTTTTGCTGTTTACATACAGCTAGTATACACTTATCGTCAAGGTAAGGCGTCCTTTTTACTGAATCTAAAACCAAACATAGATTATTCTGATTACATGTTAACTAATAAAAAAAATTATGAAATGAAAAAGGTAAAAAATCTCTATATAAATAATTTATACTTATTATGCTAGATTAAAAATTTGATAGCTACCATAGTGTGTTGAAGCTAGAGCAATTTACAGCATCTTGACACAGAGGGCGTCAACGTAGAAGTCGTGTCACATCTTGTTAATTAATGCCTCGATACAAATGGTTGTTATTCTACCTTACGGTGTTTTCCAAAAGATCCCCAGTGGTACGGTGATGCTGTAATTGTACATATCATTCCACTGCGGCGGTGAACATAATGATATTTACGAAGCTAAACGTCATAGCATGTATATATTAAAAGACAAATGAGCGTGGATACTGGCATGAACAAATAAACGTTTACAGAAAATAAACATAAACAATTGTTCCATGCTAGATTATCTGAAATGGAGTAAACGTACAATAAGTAGCGTACTCACACACCCATATGTTAGACGGGTATCACCGCTGGTGGCGTTGTATCGGTGCGAGAATCGCTCGATGTTTTTAATCCAAACACATACCTCGGACTAGTAACTAGTCTGAGCACATACCAATTAGACTAAGTTTAATTGCATTTCTATTGTCATGCTGATTTATAATCGAGGTCGAACAAACATAGAAACAAAACAAAGACAAACAAAACATACTGGTAGTATTCTTTATTTTATATAATAAGGGTGTAACGAACAATAGAATGTATTTCACGGCCAACCGAAAATATTGACAATGTCTATTATAGCGTTAGAATGGATGTCACGTACAAAAGAATGTCTAAGACAAATATAAAACACAACTGGAAATGTGATGTTTATGTTTGTGAATTTAGCGTTAGTAGTTACACAACATACAACACGTTGCTATAAAAATACCATTACAACTTTCTTGTACATACATTACCAAGAATGCTTATCCCTCGTGCAATACTCTGTATATCAGCTCCACGGATTCAAAAGTAAGAGCACGTTCCATAATAAAATAATAACACTGATTGAACGACGAGATTACACAATTTTAACTTTGGTAACGAATTATTTAAATTGTTTTTGTTTTTTGGTATAATTTCGTTAATACTATCTCGAGTTCAGCTTATGCATCATGGTACATACCAGCAGAAAAGATTGGCGAGGTGTGAGTTAGTGTACTCACGACATATATGATACTTTCCAAGTGACGTTCATGATCAAAGTTCGCATGAAGTGCGTTTTTCATTTGGGACGTCCTGTTCGTTGACGAAACCAAACAATTTTCTTCGTATTTATTCATAGTACACGGCATAAACAATGGCAATCGCACTCAGAGAGGAATTTTGGAATGACTCACTGGCGAAGTTATCCGTCTTTGTATCCCAGAGTTGAAGACTTGACACTTTGATTCCCTGTCCACTGGTCGAAGTGATCATAACGTGAACAACCACCTTGTGACGTTGAAAGTCCATCAACTTCACCTTGTGTTTTATGGTGTCAGACAATCTGGTGGCCATCAAAGACGCCGTCTTCGCATCGTACACTTCATCTGCTAGCTCCCTAGTCAACACATTACGTAGCATAGTTTTCACCCGCGAGTGGTTGAACCTATTGTTCGGATCGGGCTCCGTCTTGTAGGTGTTGTCCAACTTCATGATCATTTTCGGTTCCGGTCTCGTTTTTTCTTGTAACGATTTTCCTACCATAGACAGAAAAGACATGCGACGGGACAATCTTCTCAGTGCAAGCCGACCGGTACTTGTTGTAGCGGGCTGAGAGGGGTCCTGAGATCCCGCTGACACGTTTGAAGCCCTTCTTGACATGAGTGCTGCGGATAGTGTCGACAGGGAAGATGAGCGATCACGGCCACCGTCAGAACCATCCTTACCAATTGAAGATGACATATTCTCTTAAAAGTACAGCCAGCACGTTGATTTATTGTCACTGTTTGGTTTTTCGCTCAGCGACTGACTTTTTAATGTACGCCGATTAGTCTTTACTAGGCACCGGTATTTAGTGCGATTCCTACCCCGTCGTCTAGTAAACACTACATGAATAGAAAACACGCTGTTACGCGTACTCGCCCGGCGGGGAAACGCAGAAAACAA